GGGGTACACAAACGACAATGTTGACATACAGATCCACGTCTTACAAACATTGTAAAATCTTACAGAAATGCAGCGGAAAACAAAAGATAACTGGAGCTAAGCCTTGACTTGAACGGCAGCGGGAACACCACTCCACAGGCATCCTCGACGGCACGGACGAAGCCTACTCCTCGGAGAACCCGCCATCGGACACATACTCGAGCTCTGAGGTTGGGGGGAAAAGTAGAGCAAGACTGAGTACTACCCACTGTACTCAGCAAGTCATACCGGAATAGGGGTATGATGCATGGATTTAACAAGGGATAGCTAAGCAGGTTCATTTGCATAAATACTGGCATTTATAAACAGGAATTTAATGCGAAAACAGTTGTAAAAATTAAACAGTATTAAACATCCGCTGTCCAACGCTAACCCACGTTGCGACAGGCCCAACCATCCACCTAAACTATCCAAATTCAACAGATTACACTAGGGTGAGACTAATCACGGTGAATCTGGTTGACCGCCCATAACCGCGGGCACGGCTATTCGAATAGTTTTACTCTGATCAGAGGTGTACAACTGTACCCACAAGACACAGCCCCACGACACGTTTCCGTGCGCCGACATGTCACCACGACATACCGGAAAGAGGCCGTGACAGGACCCTTCGCATAACCCCCTCTAACCAAGCACACCACACCTCAGGTTTCACCCCCACTCCTCGCAAGGCAGCGGGCAGTCCCCTCTCGTGCCTAGGTGAATCCGGAAGCCGCATAGACCGTCGCAGGGCCCATCCAAACTCCATCACGCCCACCCTTGCCTGGATGCGTCGGCTAGAGGAAAGCTACACTACAAGCCCAGCCGTTGCCCACGCTGGCTTGTGGTAAGTACGATAAATTCTTCCAGGGCATCCCGCGAACCGGTCCTTAACTGCCATGGGTGCGACTAGCAAAACCATGCACCCACAGCCCACCATGTGGTTCATTTTATTTAACCAACACCAGAGCGGTGGTATTAAACCAACATTATCATATAAACCTATAGTCTAGGTTTTAAATGAGATCCCCAATGTGTGCTAGTTGAACTAAGCATGGCTAAGCAAGTCCTAGTCCAAAGTCTAATCATGTTATAACCCAAGCTAACAAAGGAGCATGATATCCAAAAGCATGGCTGTAACAATAGGTATCCATCCCATAGTGATATTATAAAACAGTGCAATATTTGAAAGAAAACAATGGAGCATTTGCAATATAGGATCAACATGTTCAAGTGACAAGCATGACTTGCCTTGCTCTGCTGCTGGAGGTACCTCGGCGACTATTTCGAAGTACACCGGAGCGTCGAAAGAACCGGAATCTAGCGACATACAAAGCAAACATTGCAAACAGGCTATAAGACTACTGAAACAGAGAACAAAACCATTTTTAATGGATTCTACACATTTTTCTTGATTTACTGAGACTTGAATGGGCTTAAACGGAGCTCGGATGATTTAGTTATGAATTTTAGAAGATTCACTGTGTTTATTACTATAAAAGAAATCCTTAAATAATTTATTGCGCAATATTAACCAGGGCTGACGTCAGCGAGGGGGCGCGGCGCCGACAGGCGGGGCCCACCGGTCAGCGACCGGGAGAGAGAGAAAGAGGGTGGCGGCTTGCGGGCCCACCGGTCAGCGGCACGGGAAAAGGATGGGGCGGCGGCGCCACGTGGCGACCGGACCGACGGCCCCGATCTACCCAAGGGTAGATCGGACGGCGGCGCGGGACCTCGCGGCCGGGGCGCGCGGGCGCGGCGCGAGACGGCGGCGACCATGGCGCCGGCGGCGCGGCGCTCACACGGCGGCGGCGCACATGCGGCAGCGGCGCAAAGCGACGACCGACGGCGGCGGAGAGCGGCGGCTAGAGGAGAGGAAGGGGAAAAGAAGGGAGGGGATGCCTCACCGAGGGTGGCCGGCGCGGAGGAAGGCGATGGCGGACGGCGACGGCAAGCCACGGGAGGACGGCGTCGGCTAGCGGACGAGCTTCGGCGTGCCCTAAGGAAGGAGAAGATAGGGATTAGAGAGAGAGAGATGGACCATGGCGATCGGGATCCATGGCCGAAGGCGGCGGTAGAGGTGGCGCTCACCCGTGCGCGTGGAGATGAGGGTTCCGGCGACGAACCTCGACGGAGGAGGGGTGGACGAGGTGGACCTCGGCCGCGCGAAGCTAATGGCGGCGACGGCGTGAGACGGCGGCGAGCCTAGCGGCGGCTAGCGGCGGCCGGAGTAGCAAAAGCGGCGGCGGCGGGTGGTTGCACGGCGCGGGAGCGATGGGGAGCTCGGGAGAGGTCGGCGAAATGGGGAAAAAGCGAGAGGGGGTGCCGGCGATGCTTAAATAGGGGGAGAGGGAACCGGACGTGGCCGGGAGCGGCGGGAATCGCCGGCCGACGCGGGGGAGTGGGGAGGAGAGAGAGGCGGGATTCGGTTTTCGAATCCCGGCCATCTCGGGCGCGGGCGCGAGCGGGAGAGGGAGGGGAACGGGCGCGGGGAATGCGGCGCACGCGCGGGCGTGGTCGACGTGGCCCGGGAGAGACGGAGGCGTGGGCGCGGCGTCGGTTGCGGCGGTGGCGGCGCGAGCGGGATCGGCGGGAGGAGGGAGACGGGTCCGACAGGTGGGCCCCACCTGTCGGCGACCCCGAGAGGAGGGAGGCGGGCGGCCGGCTGTCGGGCTGGGCCTCGGCCTGCGGCCGGCCCAGTAAGGGAGGGGAAGGAAGGGAGAAGTGGGCCGACGGCCCACTTGACAAAAAGGAGGGAAAAGAGAGGAAAAAGAAAAAGAAAAGGAAAAAGGATTTTCCCTGGAATTAACAATTGCACTTTAGTGATTTTTAATTGGTTAAAATTATTTCTAGAGCTCTGAAAATTCCACTAAAAATCCTGTTAATGAATTTCGACATGTAGAATTCAAGAAAAATTCCACATGTCAGATCCGATTATTATTTGCATTACTTTCTTAGGGTTTTCTCCTGATTTCACCAGCATTTTCTTAGGGTCAATTATAAATTACAATTTTGACTTGGGAGGAAAACTTCGGGGTGTGACAATAGTGTAATGATAAACTGTGGGAGCCTTATATACCTTGTTATGGACAGCTACATTTCTCAAGTTTTAACAAATTTTGCTAAACAAAAAGCCATGGAGAAAGATTACCTAAAAAAAATATCAATAACAGGGTATGATCTACTGAAGAAGTGAAGCTAAATTTTTGCAGAGAATTAACTTTGTCCTCAGCATTCTTATAAAGTGAAAGTTTGCAAAATTGCAGGGTATGTTTGCATTCATGAAAAATGTACGGGTAGTGAAATCATTGAGAAGCTTGACTGCCTCATGTAGAAAGCTACACAAACCACTACAATATAATTTGGAAAAGAGAAACACAGTGGAAATTATTGTGCTCTATTATACCTCACTGTAAATCCTGCTGCAGAAAGATAATTCTTCTTCTCAACTGCCTCAAGCCCTAACGACTTAAACTCTGCAATTTTCCTTCGATTCACAGCTTTGTCCTGATAAAGTGAGCCATAAAAAATATCAAATAAATGAAATCCTTGCAGAATACATGGGAAAGATATATACTAACTGTAAAGAAAATATTGTGAATATTCCAGGAAAGATACATTTGATTACTCAAACGTGACATTTTAAGCACTCATGGTATTCTACAAGTATTCATCTTCAGCATTGTCAATTGACTTTGTCCTCTGAGCATTCTTGTAAACTGAAAGTTTGCAAAATTATATACTAAGGATCACTAAATCGGCTGAACATTTCTATAGAGAGCACAATATATATCATCAGCTGCCTACTATTTCTCTTGCTGCATTCCCTATCAACCTTAATTCTCAACATAATTCCTTAATCCATACAACCACTCCATACATCAACTAGCAACAAATCCATCCACTAGATAAGTCACAAATCTTTTCAGAGTGGGAAAAAAGGAGATCAAGAATCAGACCTGCTTCTTGATGTCCAGGCTATTGTCCTCGACCTTGCCATCTCCCGCAATCGGTGAATCCGAAGCGAGAAGGAGAGATGGCAAGCAGCGGTGACTGAGGGCGGGATGGAGAGCGGGAAGGAGAGCGGCGGCGGCTGAAGCGGGATGGAGACCGGCGGCGACCGAGGGCGGGATGGACACAGTCGGCGGCCGAGGACGGGATGGAGACCGGCGGCGACTGAAGCGGGATGAAGACCGGCGGCGACCGAGGGCGGGATGGGGGGCGGCGGCTGCTGGAGATATGCTACTCCTAGATCTCTGCCCTAGAGCCGCCTCCCGGACCTCGCGCCGCCTCCAAACCCTAGCGCCATGGGAGTCGAGGAAGACGAGCGCTGTCTCTGCTCGGGGAAAAAAAAATCGTCTCGGAGATGATTTTTCTTTACCCGGGGGTTTGGCGTGGATCGGGCGGAGAATTGCCCCCACCCCGGCCCAGGCGAACGCGTATATGGCCCACGGAAGAAAATTACACCCGGCCGGGATGGCACACGGGGATTTCAGGCCATTCCCCCCCAAACCCAGCCTAAAAGAACAAGGCCTTAAGGGACAAGATCTCGGTCCTTGGCTGTGACAGGCACGCAGGGGGGGAGGGATGAGGAGGAGGAGTAAATACCTGACCCCCTTTGGCTCCTCCGTTTGCAGCAACAAAAGATCGCCGATTCGCCGCGCGTACAGCGCGATCGCGGCACGTGTGCGCCGTTCCGTATCCAAATCCCGTGGATTCGATCAATCGATCGATCTCTGCACTGCACAGCTGCGCCTGCAGAATCTCGCGACACCTTGTACTTCCATTTTTTTTTCCTCTCCTAAACTGCATGGTGACCTCACCGGCAACTACAGCCACCTGTGTATATATATAGACGCCCCACCGTGGTGGTGATGGATGTGAGGTTTTGTGCGGCGCGCTTGCTCAGCGTATCGATCGATCCCACGAGAGTCTGCGAGAGAGAGAGAGAGAGAGCACGTAGGAGAGGTTGAGAAGTTGAGATGTCGTCGATCGGCGCCGGCGCAGGAGGAGCCGTGGTGGGGGCGGCCGTGGCGGCGGTGGCGGTGGGCGGCGGGGCGCCGCCGCACGTCCTCGCCGTGGACGACAGCTCGGTCGACCGCGCCGTCATCGCCGGCATCCTCCGGAGCTCCCGGTTTCGTGGTACATGTGTGGTTGATGCATATCAGTTTTGTTTTTTGTTCTGTTTGTGGTTGCTGCTGTTGAAAATGTTGTTTTGGACGTTTTTCTGGTGCAGTGACGGCTGTGGATAGCGGGAAGAGGGCCCTGGAACTGCTAGGCTCGGTACGCCTTTGTTTTTTTCCTGAACTTTTGGCCTTGTTTTGCATGTCAGGTTGCGGTGATATGCAGCCGCAATTTTCTCATGTTCCTTTGGCTCGCTCATCATCTTGCAGGAACCAAATGTGAGCATGATAATCACGGACTACTGGATGCCGGAGATGACGGGATACGAGCTCCTGAAGAAAGTCAAGGTATACATGCATGATCTTAGATTGTCCTGCAGAAAGCTTAATTACTTTGATTAACAGGAGAATCAATCTGACGACGCAAAATCATGAATCGTATATGCATGCAGGAGTCATCCAAGCTGAAGAAGATCCCCGTGGTGATCATGTCCTCGGAGAATGTGCCAACAAGAATCAGCAGGTATTTTTATCCGTTTATAATATCTCTATTGATTAGAGCATTCTTATGTCTTATCCATACAGATTACCGAGCACTTAACCATTGTTCTTCCATCTTTGCTCTGTTCGATTGGTTTATTAACCAGATGCCTTGAGGAAGGCGCGGAGGATTTCTTGGTGAAGCCCGTCCGGCCATCCGACGTGTCGCGGCTCTTCAGCCGCGTGCTACCATGAGCCTCGCCGCCGCCGCTGCCGACTCACCGGCCAGCCGGCGGCGCAGTCACGCACGGCGGCGGACGCATTGTTTGTTTCGGAGACTTTTGAAAGAGCAGGAGAAACGGTGCAACCCTGCCTTGATCACTTGACGAATGAATTCTCCATTTTTTTTCTCGTTGGGGTCGTCTTCTTGTCTTTGTGTAACTTGTTGCAAGCTAGTATTAAGACAGAGGGAACTACTGAACTATTGAACAGAGCATATGGTCTCTGTTTCTCTCTTTTTTTTTCTCCTTTTTGTTGCTTTCAGTTTCTTGAAGTTAATTTAAAGGCGGTGACAATGGAGTTCCTAACTTGAGCCTAAATATTTTCCTGTCAGTCAAGTCCCGTTTGTGATGTGTGTGTACGTGTATCGATGAGCGTATGCAATACGTCGCGCGTACGGTGGGAGCCCTGGGGGGATCTTGTCCCCGTCACAGGCCGTTGGTGTTCTTGTGCAAAGCGTATCCGGCGATATCGTTCTCGTTCCAGTACAGACTCGGGGCTTGCAGAGCCATGTGCGATGTGCCCATGTCGTCGCAGTAATGTACAGTAGATAGTAGCAACAAGTTCTGGTAATTCTGGCTGGCTCATCCGCTGTGGTGATACGGTCCATTAATTCCTGCCATTTCAAGTTCATAAAACCATCGGCCAGCTGGGGATTGGGATTCGGCAGCGTACTTGCCAAATGCAACCTGGATTTTGTTCTTCAGGACATTTAATACTCCCTCCGTTCTAAAAAAAACTCAATTCCTGGGTTTCTGTTAGGTCCGTATCTAACGTGTTCGTCTTATTTGAAAAAGTTATGAAAAAAATTAAAAAGATAAGTTATGCATAAAGTATTATTAATGTTTTATCATCTAACAATAATGAAAATACTAATCATAAAAAAAGCATTATTAAGTCTTTTTAGGACAGAGGGAGTAAGTTTGATGATGTCGATTGGCGAATCCGCTACTGTTTATTTGCCGCTACACTTCGTAGTGGCAGGTTCATTTATACTCGGAATAAGATCACTTTGACTCCCTCAACTGACCACCGAATCTAAATCGTATCCCTCAATCGCAATACTAGAAATCTCGACCCCCTGAACTTGCAAAACCGGTGCAATTTGACTCCCTCACCGGTTTTGGGAGGTGGTTTCGCCGATGTAGCGCCATGTGGCGCCTATGTGGTGATATTGACCGAGTCTTCGGTCCACGTGGCATTGACGTGGCACTTACGTGGCAGTAGAATTAAAAAATGCGTGGGACCCATTAGTCATTCACACAAAAAGAAATGTGGGCCCACTGACATGTGGGACCCACATGTCAGTCCTCTTCCTCCTCCCTCTCTCCCTTCTCTCTCTTTCTCTCAATCTCTCCCCTTCTTCCCATTCGACGGCGGGCGGGAGGGCGGCAAGAGCAAGCGGCCAGCCCGGCTCGGCCTCGGTGGGGAGGCGGCGGCGCACCACCGGGGTCCATCGACGATCGCAACGGCGCACGGACGAGGGGAGCGGCGGCGGCCATCGGCGCACACGAGCAGGACGACGCCCCGGCCTTCTCCAGCCCCGCCGCCCCGGCCTTCTCCAGCGGCCTTTTCATCACCCCCCGCGCCAGTCGCTTCGTCACCGACGACGACCCCACAAGCCATCAGAGATCACGCCGGTAACCGCAAGGACGAGGATGACGAGCGGCAGTGTGGGCTGCCGCCGTTCCGCTCGCCCTCCCACTGCCGCGAGTCGCCGCCGCCGTTCCCCTCGCCCTCCCACTGCCGCGAGTCGCCGCCGCCGTTCCCCTCGCCGTCGCCGCCGCCGAGCCGCCGCCGTCCTAGCCGCCGACCGCTGCCCCCAGTTCGGTTCTGATGCGCCCCGATGCCGCCCGCTCGCTCTCGCCGCCCTCCTGCCTGTCGGCCGAATGGGAAGAAGGGGAGAGAAAGAGAGAGAAGGGAGATAGGGAGGAGGAAGAGGACTGACATGTGGGCCCCACATATCAGTGGGCCCACATTTCTTTTTGTGCCAATGACTAATGGGTCCCACGCATATTTTGTAATTCTAATGCCACGTAATTGCCACGTTAACGCCACGTGGACCGAAGACTCGGTTAATATCGCCACATAGACGCCACGTGGCGCCACGTCAGCGAAACCACCTCCCAAAACCGGCGAGGGAGTTAAATTACACCGGTTTTGCAAGTTCGGGGGGTCGAGATTTCTGGTATTGCGGTTGAGGGATACGATTTAGATTCGGTGGTCAGTTGAGGGAGTCAAAGTAATCTTATTCCTTTATACTGCACCGCAGCACCACACTTCCTTTTCAAGAATGCATCCGAATTTATTACTTATTATCTTGAAATTTGTACTCCTGCATAGCAATGCATTGCAAAAGTATGCTCCGCTGGATCTTTTTATCACATTGTTTTGGAAGGAAGTACTGTACCTGATTTTCTCCCAAAGCAGATTGGTAGATATTCGAAGAAGTACCATTTTCTTCAGTTCGTAGGACTTTATATGCAGTGGATCCGGTGAATCTGGCCCATTCTCACATTTTACTGCAAGGCGAAATTACTAAACAATGTGTTCTATACGAAAATTTTATATATAGAAATTTCTTTAAAATATCAATTATATAAATTTATTAAGTTTGTAATAATCAAAATTTAATTAATTATGTGCCAATAATAGCTTTTTCGTTCTTCATCAGTTTCAAACACCATCTAATTAGGCTAGGCCGATGGGTATTCCGCATTGTAATTGTCCCCCTTAGTCAGGCCGTCTTTCGGCCCATTTATCTCCCACTCCCCCGCGTCCGTCCCTAATATTGGGCCGCGCACGTGCGAAGTCATTGCCGGGCCAATTTTCACGGGTTAGGCCCATTTAAGGAGAGAGATCCTCCTGCTTCTCCCCTCCCGTGCTCCCCTTTCTTCCCCTGCGCCCTCCCACCGGGAGTCCACACCCCTCTCCTCCTCGCCCGCAACCTCCCCCTTCGTGCCGGCCTCCGACCGAGAAAGCGCGGCGTCTCCCCAGCCACGCGCTCGTCTCCGGCGACCGCCGCGCCCTCTCCTGCAGGTACGTGCCCCTGCTTCCCCCACGTTCCCCTCCCGTGCGCCGTGCGCCGGGGCTCTCTCGGGCTTCCGGGCCGAGACGGCGGCGGCGGCGGCGGCGGCGGCGCGAATTGTGGCGCGCCCGCCCTACCGTCCTCTCGGTCTCCGCCCGCTTCGGGACACCCCTGCGGTGCCGCTGCCAACTAGGGAGTAGTTTCACACGCTTAGTTCGATCCCTAGGGGTTTTTGGTTTTGATGCGTTCAAACCTAGCGATTCGATTCCTGTCGGTTTTATTTGCAATTGGGAGAAACTATCCACTTTAATTCAGTCTCTGCGGCCCGCGGGGGGTAGGTGTGTGTGGTGGTAGGGATTAGTTGCCCTGCAGTAAGTTCTGTATGTTTGGGTACTTTGAGCACTACAGATCTCTAGTGATCAGCGTGAATCTCTAAATAATGGCCTTTATGGCTTTGTCATTAACGTGAGATGCACATATGTCGTGCATATCTTATTGTGCTGTTTGTCAGGGATGTTGCATTTAGCTGTATTTTGCAAATAATTTGCAGTTGCAGACTTGCAGTGAACTACTAGTTTCTAAAACGTGAAACATTCCTCTTCTCTTTTCTAGTTTTGCAGCTTTCCACTGTGTATATCTGGTTTCTACTTTTTGTAAAATAAAATGGAGAACACTCAGAATGAGAACAGCAAGGAAGCCAAGCAAGATGACGAGACCCGCCAAAACAAGCAAGATGATGAGGTAATTCTGGTGTGCCTTTAGTAACAATCTGAAACAGGCAATTTTGCTTAATCTCATTTTAGCACGATACTTTTTCATTGACAAAATCAATGGATGTTGGCTGCAATTCAATAAGGGAGCAGGTTGATGTCCATAATTTGTCATTATTATAATGGTTGGGTTTTTTGCTTCCCATTTTTCACCATGATAGCCAGAGATACTTTGATTACATGGGGGCATAACACAGCATGGTTCTGACGCATTGAACCACATTATACTTGTTTACTGTGAATCTGAATCTCGCAACTTAACAACTGAAGTTACCAGCAGAAATTATGAATCTGCAACACATATTTGACTTAGCTTTACAAACAAAACTGTTCTGGTTATATTAGTACTCAACACACAAGAAAACTCCCTTACAACCAATTCAGTTCTAGTTTCTTTAACTTGAGGTATTTGCGTAAAAAGTGTACTCTTGATTGCCTGTGAAATGGACTCGTTTGCTGTTTCTAGAACTGTGGCAGATCTAGTTGAAGATTGATAATTTGTAAACTACCCTGTACAATTGGTCGTCTGCACTTTCTAGTGACGTGACTTCAGAAATTCTGCTCACTGATCCTAAATTTTGGCTGTATGCAGGAGGCTCGTCTTGAAGAATACAAAAAACTTGTTGATCAAAAGACTGCCCTCCGCCGGAGCAACCTAAACTCTGAAAGGCCTGGTACTAAGTTGCATTCAGTATAATGACTTCATAGTGGTCATGGTGAATATTAGTGACTAATTTGAATATTTATAATTTTTTGCTAAAGTGAGATTGTTGTGGATGAGGAATTTTTGTAGTGATTTTGGAGTCTTAGCTACGAAAATAACCTCAAAAGCTACTCAATGACTTCATTTTAATTCATTGTTTGTCTTTTTTACTCAAATTTACCACTCTCGTAATCCTTGGTTCTCTTGCGTTGGAATGGATGGTTAATATTTATGCCGTTGAGGTTAATGAAATTTTGAGTTATATTCAGTCAGAAAAATGTTTGAGTTCTTGATTAGATAATTTCTAATGGTGATAAGTCATAACCACATTTTTCTAGCACTATTATGATATGGTGATTCTCTAATTTCAGATGCAAATTACTTGAGGACTCTTGACTCCAGTATTAAGCGAAATACAACAGTTATAAAGAAACTCAAAACAATAAATGATGAACAGAAGGATGGATTGATGGATGAGTTGAAAAGTGTGAACTTGAGCAAATTTGTCAGCGAGGCAGTTTCTTATATTTGTGAGGCCAAACTTCGTTCTGCTGATATACAAGCTGCTGTTCAGGTAATTGAGTTCGAATAACTTGTGTGGTCTTAGTGTGTTTGCAAAAGTGCCTATATAAGGAACCATCCGACCTGTACTTGAGCAAGGTCTTTTGTTCAATGCAATTGACTATTTAGTTTCTAGGTTGCATAATGAAGCATTTTCCATTGCCTAGTGATGCTCTTTACATGTGCTGTTACATGTATTTCAGTTATTATTTGGACTTATTGCATCATGCTTTACTGCAATTTGCTTGTTTTGAGTTT